GGAGACACAAGGGGGAAGAGATATAAGGACATATATATATTTATAACTGATTCACTTTGTTATAAAGCAGAAACTAACACACCATTGTAAAGCAATTATACTCCAATAAAGATGAAAAAAAAAAGCCAAAACATTTTACAGAAGAGATATAAAAAAAAAATCCCTCTGGCAACATGGTGGGGCACGATTGGCAGCGGAAGGCTGCAGGCCGTGGCTGTCGTGATAACCTGGGTGGGAAATTCTTGGGACTATGGTAGTGACGGCGGGCCCAGGACAAAGCTGATGTGGCTTTGAAAAAGAACTTTAAAATTATTGATTTGGGAGGTGTTTTTACTATGTGTGTGGGGGGTTTGAGTGAGGGAGAGGATAGAGTCTAGAACAACACGCATGTTTCAGGCGTCATGGTGTGTTGGTGAATAGGAACAGGTAGGTGAGGAGAGAAGACGGTCAGTTATGTTTGGGACACATACGTCTCAAAGAGTCTGTGAGATAGTCGAGTCTAAATGAACTGGGGGCAGGTGTGGGAAGCTTGGTAAAGAGATTTGGTCTGAGGTGACTGCCAGAAAGCACTGAGGGAAAAGGGTGACAAAAGTAAAGATACAACTATTAAATTCCTCTCAGGTTACTGCTTGTTTTATGTTATTGTTTTCAGCTTTACTGAGGTATAAGTGACAAATAAAATTGTAAGATATTTAAAGTGTACATTGTGATGATATGATATATGTATACATTGTGACAGGATTTCTCCCCTTTGAATTAGTTAACACATCCATCACCTCATATATTTACTTTTTTCTTTCTCTTTTTTTTTTCCTTAGGGTGAGAACATTTAAGTTTTACTCTCTGAGCAAATTTAAATTAAACAATACAGCACTACCAACTATTGTCACCATGTTATACGTTAGCTCCTCAGACCTTATTCATCTTACAGCTAAGAGTTTGTTCCCTTTTACCAGCTTCTCCCCATTTCCCTCACCCCAGCCTCTGGCAATCACTTTTCTATTCTGTTTCTATGAGTTTGACTTTTTTTTTTTTTTCAGATTCCACATATAAGTGATACCATGCAGTATTTATCTTTCTCTGTCTGGCTTATTTCATTTAACTGATGCCCTCCAGGCTCATCCACCTTGTTGAAAATGACAGGATTTCTTATTTTTTTATTTTTATTTTTTGCGTTATGCGGGCCTCTCACTGTTGTGGCCTCTCCCGTTTGCGGAGCACAGGCTCCGGACGCGCAGGCTCAGCAGCCATGGCTCACGGGCCCAGCCGCTCCACGGCACGTGGGATCTTCCCGGACCGGGGCACGAACCCGTGTCCCCTGCATCGGCAGGCGGACTCCCAACCACTGCGCCACCAGGAAAGCCCTTATTATTATTATTATTATTAATTTTTTTTTTTGTAACTAACAAATATAGACTTTCTGTGTGATGATAATAATGCAAAAATAGCTGAAAGAGGGAAAATAAGAAGAAAGGGGGAAATGAAAAGTCAAGGAAAAGAATCCCAGAGAGGCCTGGGGAAAAGCTCTGTGTGAGGCCCCTGGAGCCGTGGGTGAGTCTGGTAATTCCTGCTTACAGGCAATTCCTAGTAATTCCTCTCCCCACTCCACGTTTCCTACTTACGGTTTGCTTGCCTCATCCCTTCTCCCACCCCCGCTTCCTATTATTCAGACCCTACATTAGCTCAAAGGCTTTAATTTTTGGTGGGCAAAAAAAAAACAAATAGTGATTATTTCTCCAAACCTTCACTTGCAGCTCACATCTTGGATTTGGCCTCTTGCACTTCATTCTGTGCAAGAGGAACTTTGGGGCTGATCTGGTCACAGGTACACAGAGTTCCTCAGTCTCTTCAGTAAAGACATTGTTTGTTTCATTAAGATAGTTGGTGCGAGTTTTTTTTTTTAATGAACTCTAATTCGATAAGATTTTCTCTTCCATTATTTTTACAAGACCAAATAATAACATTTAAAAAGAAATTTCTTCTTAAAGAAACTTAAATCAGTTGCTTTAAGAACACATCTTTACAAAATTATACTCATTAGGCAACAAAAAACTTTCGTGTTTTCCTTTCTTCTGATGCAAGTTGAAGACTTACAAATAAATAGTTGTTAATGGTGTTTGGTTAAGAAGAATTTGTTTTAATTGTTTATATGAAACAAGTACTTGTTAACTTTTTCTTGTTGCCAATCTGTCAATTCTAAATGTTCACGTAGGTTAGGCAGGAGAAAGCCCAGCTTTGTCACAAAAGGTTTGCATTATGAACTTGGTTCTCTTGTGCGTCTATTTTCATTCTTGTTAAGGGATGAATTCGATTGTACAAATCCCTCATATTTTATGTGTTAAACATGTTAGTTCAGGAATTTCACTTGGTTTTATAAAGATACATATCTACGATGGCTGACCAATCCAAACATAAGATTTAACCATTGACTTCGGACCCAATTCAGTTCTCCCATCTTCTGGCTTGCAGAACTTCTGGCTTTTGGGAAAGAAAGTGAATCAAAGTAATTTTTGGTTCAAATTATTATTAACTGTTTTCTTCTGATATAAACTTATATTTTAAGAGTTAAAATAAGTCAACATGTACTACATAAACATCGTAGAAGACCAAACACTAAGAGTTTCTTTGAGGTGTCAGAAGAATATACCTTTTGCCTAGAGTCTATATCTGCCCAGGTAAATTTTATTTCTGATTCTATTATTTCCTCAATTTGCCCCTGTTAATAGGGAAGATTCTAAAGTAATAACTATGCCTGGGTACTCGAGGCAGTGTGTGGTCTCTTACTGAAGTTACAAGGTTTTAACTCTGTTTGTTGATTCCTCTTATGCAATAGAAGAATGCAGATGTTAATTTAATCTGAAGCCTGTTTATACAGTGACTTTTATAATGTATATCTAAAGATAGAGAATCAAGTTTTATGAGACCAACATTTCTTATCAAGTCCCCACTCCACCCTATTCTAATTGGGCTGACCCTTAAGTTGAATAAAGAACAAAGAGGTCTGTAGTTAAAACATTTCACTACATGTTGAGTCTTGCCCTTAGTAAATGAGAAAATGGAGACTTAAACAGAGAATCTGAATTAGAAGGTCGCATATACACTCACTGTTTTTTGTGAATGGAAAGCATATTTTAAAATAGTACGTATCATCTTTTTAGCCTAAATTCAGGATGTTTTCCCAAGAGGTGGAAGTATTTAGACTCATATAAACGGGCTGCTTTATAAAAACATGCCAATAATACTTTTTAATTTGTGAAGTTTAATATTCTGTACATTATCAACCAGACTTCTTTTGAGGGATAAAGAAATGGAGGTGACTTCTAAATCTTAGAGCAGAAACTTCATGTGGGCAATTGGATACCTGTCCCCAGAGCTCAGAGAAGAGGGTTGGGCTGGGAGTTTAAGTCTGTGCATCATCTGTATTTAGTGGTGATGAAAGCCGTAGGCATGAGATAGATTTTCTGGTGGGAGAATTCAGAGTCACAGAAGAGGAAAGGGCCTGGCATTGAGCCCTGTGCAGTGCTGGATTATTATGGCATGGAGGGAGGCAAATCTGCAAACTCTGGGAAGCTCCAGCTTGAGAGGTAGAAGGAACGCTGGGAGCATTTTGTGTTACAGAAGCCGAGGGAAAAGCATGTTTCAAGAGGAAGGAAGGAACTGTCAGATGCTTCTGATGGGTCAAGTGTGATGCGGGCTGAAAGTGTCTATTGAATTCAGCAACAGAAGTCATTGGCGGTTTCCGGGAAGCTGTTTTTGTGGAGCAACAAAGGTGGAAAGCAGATTGACGTGGGTTGAGCCAGGCAGGAGAAAAGGAGGAAAAAGACCTCCAGTGCAGACATCTGTTAGGTGTTGCGCTGAGAAGGAGGGACAGGATATAAGATAGAAGTTCGAGAGTGCTGTGGATCAAGGGAGACCTTTTTTGTGGGTCAGACTTGCATGACATGATAAAAGCCAATAAGGTAAAGTAAACCTGTATGAATTACAGGACATCATTAGAGAAACAATCTTCGGAATTATTGGAGAACCAGAAGGGAAA